CAAGCACAAGGTCCCGAGTCTGATCCCTGGTTTCAAAAAAAAAAAAAAAAAAAAAAAAAAAAAAAAAAAAAAAAAAAAAAAAAAAAAAGCCAAGTTTCTCTGGTCCTTAGCTGATTTCCTCTCTCAAGTTTCAAGTTCATTAGTTACCAAATGGTTACTCTTGACCAGTGTGTTCTCCTCCAGTTGAAGTTGTAATCTAGGGTGAACTTTGGGTGATATGGTTGGGAATTTAGCTAACTAATATGGGGGTTTTGCAAGACTCACACAGCAGTGATAAAATTCTTTGCCCTTTATAGAGTGTGATCTGATATTGTATCGGTTGGTCTTCATATTAGTTAACTATTGCTGCATAGCAAATCACTCCCAAAACTCATTGCTTACAAAGGGAATATAATTTTTTGTCTATTATGATTTGTGTGTGTGTCAGGACTTTGGGAGTGGTTTTGCTGGATGTTTCTGAGGTGGGTCTTTCACGAGGTCCTATCAGATGTGGGCTGATGCTCAGTCACCAGAATGTTTGACCGGGTCTGAAATATTCACTTCCGAATAACACCCTGAAGAGAAGGGACCATTAACGAAGGTCTGCACAGGTCCTGCTGGCGTTCACACGACACAGCATCTTCCCAGTTGATCATTTGTTATCCCGTGGCCAACACAGTCAAAAATCCCATAATTTCTGAAGCAATGGTTAAAAAGGCTGATGCAGCAAATAAAGAAGAGTCTTGCAATAAGAGGACAGAGCATGCCGGAGAAGAAAAGATGCAAAGTGTCGCCCACTAGGAATCAAGGGAGAAAACTACGACTTGCAGTGATCAACAGCTGGGGTGGCTGCCATTTATCGCGTCCCTTCTGCCCGCCAGTCACAGTCCCACATCCTCACCCCCCTCTGACCGGCATAAGCTTGATACTCTCTAAGCATCATCAGCGCTGCACGGCAGGAGGAGCTCAGGCTGTGAGAGTGGAAAGGACCTGACTCAGCTTGCTATTCTTGAGAGGAAAAGATAAACGATGCGTGTAACCACCAGCACCGGTCTTCATGTGGAGACTCACCCCTGCTCCAGAAGGTTTCCTATCTCTATGACACTCCTTTTCCCATGACTAATAATAATAATTCGGTCCTTCTGTTTTCTCCTCAAAGCTTGGGACCTCCTCTCCTGCTCCCCTCACAGATGATGCCCTTCCCTCCTGCTGCAGCATCCCACTGCTCTGCCTTACCCAATGCCTGTTGTCCAGTTTCACATGCGTGAATGACCAGAAAACATGTATCCCAGCCCACGACCTCCCCTGTACTCAGCTTCCAAACCTCACCCCTCCGTCTTTCCTCAAGATCGTTCTTCCTTCACTGTATTTTCTCTGTGGTCTGTGGGGGGCTGCTTTATTGGTCGTGCCCAAAGCAGGCTGTGAGCAGTGCAGGCTGTAAAGAGTGAGCCCCAAATTAGCTTGTTTTGAGAAGACTCTGGCTAAAGCCTATGTACTGAGGTCAGAGTAACTCGCACCCAAATTCCGATCCCACAACTAAAACCTTCTTAACTAGAAGGACAGGTTCTAATGACAGCTCTATGTGTTATCTATTCCGTTCCTAATTGGAAAATGCTTTGTCTTTTCCTTTACAAGCCTTGCTTGCATTAGTATCCACAGCAACTGCGTGACTGCCTGTCCTCCCACATTGTTTTCCTCTACCCCAATCTGATCACCAACAAAGATCAGTGACTTGGACTGACTGGTGTCTCTGCTGGTTGAGCAGCGCTGGCTGTCGTGGCTCCGCATTTCTCTGTCTCTTTAGTTCAGTCTTTTAGCTTTTCTCTCAGCCTTGAGCTGTGTGGCACTGAGCAGGAGATCAGAACCTGCTGCAGAGGTCTCTGATAGTATTCTATTTTTCCCATCAGCACTCAGTATCCTGTAGAACAGGGGTCCTCAACATTTTTGGCAACAGGGAAGACGATTTTTTCCAGGGATGGGGTATGGGAAATGGTTTCAGATTAGATTTTCTCCTGAGGAGCACTCAACCTAGATGTCTCACATGTATAGTTCGCAGTAGGGTGCGAGCTTTGATGAGAACCGAACGCCTTGCTGATCTGCAGTGATGGAGCAACAGGGAGCAACTGTAGAAACAGATGATGATTCTCCAGCTCATCTGACGCTCATCTCCTGCCATGTGCCCCAGCTCACAGCGGGCCACAAACTTCTGGGGTTTGGAGACGTCTGCGCTAGAACTTCTTCATTTTAAAAACAAATCACTCTACAACCATACATTATTCTTTAGCTTCTTGGCTTTCAATCAGAGCAAGACATTCTAAAAGATTCAAATGACCTTCCCATATTCACTTCTTCCTCTGCATTTCTCTACAGTTGGGTCCACAAGGTTTACCGTACTCACAGACCCAATGAGCGCAGGCTTACGAAGCTCCACAGCCCCTGGGCACGTGTCTCTCTGGACGTTCCACCAGCTGTGGTCCTTGCCCTGGATAGTTCTAATCCCCAAACCCCTGCTTTGAGTGACTCTGTTCTTAGTACTCTCAGCTGAAGATATAGTGACAGGCTGGGCAAGGATATAGGAACTGGAACCAAGTGAGTAACAGGAAACAGGAAACTAAGGCTCCATATGATTCTTTGACCACAAGAACATACCAACATAGCATCTGTTTGAACAGCCTGAGTTCTTTTAGAAACCAGAGCCTCTATGGTTTTATCACCCTCAATCCTCCGTGGGGCATAGAGGATGACCTCTCCCAGATCAAATATCAAGGAGTTGGGTGTCCAGGCTCCTCTCCTCCAGATAATGAAGATAAAGAAAGGAGAGGGGAAATTTGTATGTGAGAAGCATCTGTGATAAACAAGTAGAGGCAGAGAAGGAAAGAGACAGGAACCAGAAGTACAGAGAGAGAGGAAAAGGATACGGAGACGTTTGGACGATTGGATAAGCATTCTCCACACCCCCACCACTGTGAGGATTAATTCCATATTCACCACTTTGAGCAAGCTACTTTACCATATTCTAGTCCAAGAATGATTCGGTCTTTATGAAATTTTCAGTATCATATAAAGTTCAAGATTATTGTGGAGAAATACCCAGATTCAGAGACAGAGGTAAAGATAATCAACCTAAAATCATTCCTAATGTCTTGTCCCAATGAGGGGGGTTTTCAGTGATAAGTAGTTGACAATTACACTTGAAAACGCTTGAAAGCCAGGACATTTATGGCCTAGCTTATGAGAATTTCAGAGGTGGGTAATACTAGGTTAGTCCTATGTGAATAACGAAATGGAGGACCACGCTTATGCTCCATCATCCTCATTTTCTTCTTGAAATCTTGTGGCTGTAAGACGGCTGCCATAGCTTCCGACACCCCCTTCAGCATCCCAAGCCAGGAGGACATGATGAAGCAGGCATGGCTGACCATTTGTAATCAGAACTGAGATGTGTCTGGATTTACGAGTCATGAAGATTTCTTGGTGGCCGCCCGTAACCGTTGCACTTTCGAAGCTTCCCAAGGGAGGAAGGACAATGAGGGAGAATATGACCAAGAGTCCTGAAGAAGGCAAGTGAAGAGAATGGCAGAGGGTGTGACTAGGCATAGAGGAGAAGGCGCCCAAGCCAGGAGAAAGCGGGAGGCCAATGATTCCACAGGGTACTGTTGAAAAACTTTGAGATGGTTTGATATCAGAGTGTTCTTCCTGGGCACGTGAGATGCCCTGTCCTGTCCCCCGTAACATCCTCCCTTTACTAAAGCAGTTACAGGATTTGTGCTTGCTTCCCAATGGCCCATGATTAATAATCCATAATGGGCAAAAAATGCACCAAGCAAGAGTGTGTGATGAGGCATTTAGGAAATAAGGAAGTCTCAAAGCGGACCACTACTCTTGCATGGCCCGACTGTCTAATCTAGGCAAGGTCTAAAGGGTTGAGCTAGGTGGGGAGAATCCCTGCCAGTCCTGCACAAACCCCAGGCCTGTTAGCCACTCACCTGTCTACAGTGGCCTCCGAGGGCAATGAAATTGATTAGTTTTGCCTAAGATGGCGAAGGCGGGATTGCATCCACGTCTGCCGGTCAGCAGTTACTGGATAAGCTGTGTGAGTAGAGGCAGCATTTGCTGTAAAGGGCTGAGTGGTCAGCGCCTTCCACTTGGCAGGACAGGGTCTGCAGTGCACTCCTCGGCTCTGCTCCTCAGTGTGCCCACAGCCACAGCAGTGGGCACGTGGCTGGTGTGGCCAGTGCC